AACCGCTGGAAGCTGTCACATAGCACAGCATGCAGCAAACAGTATAGGGGCCATCATGCCCCCGTTGCTTCAAGTAAAGAGGCAGCGCCCATCGCCTCACATACAGCAGCCGGGTACGTACTACACAAATAGCCTCGTACTCAGAAAGAAGCAAAACGATTGCGGTTGGTTGACGTTCGATGTTGTTGGGACCCCAACGGCGATAATAGGCGAGAGAGAGACAGGTGCTACTACTACTACGTACACCAACAGAAGAAAACGTAGAGAAGGCATTAATTAACTCTCGAGACCCTAACCCTAACCCTAACCCTAACCTTAACCGAAGACACTCACTCTCGTCCCTGTGGCCCACCGCAGGCTGTAACGAACGGCGACATCCGATGTGCGCTCAGCAACAACAAACAAACGCAACAAACCAAATAAATATATAAAGTCGCCGTTTCCGAACTAACTGTGGAGACTCTCTTTCATCACTTACTTACTTGTGGTATGAAGTAGGAAGTGACAACGAAATAGAAAATGATGACGAGAAGCACCACGGACGAACTATTTTCTCAATGCATACGCTTGCCGTCGCGATAGACGCGCACCGTTCCACGAACGACCAGTTGTCAAACCTCACTACGCAAATAAGATTGTCCTGCCATCTACCCCTTATCGCTCAAATTACGACTACGCAGCACACTAAAGGTAAGTAAGGCAGCAACACGCTTACGATGCTTTACCACCCATCCATGCATGTAAGGGAAGAAAAAAAAACTATGGCGGACCGTCTGTTGTCTGTATCTTCAACCGTGCTGCCGTTGCTTTTCTTCATGGATATCGGCACAGAGGAAAAATGAGGAATGCGCATCTCCTACGCGAGCACGGCGTGCATCCAAAGCGACAGAGACGATAACCTTTTTATGACCTTTGCAGCATCTTCCGAGCATAACAGCAGCCACCGCATGTGTACAACGGTCACTATAGTCGTAAAATCACTGGTTATCGCCCCTCCGCGAGCGATAGCTGCTCAAACGACTGTGACAGGTCTTGAAATCGTCTCAGCTACCCAGAACTGCTGGCAGTTGCCGGAGATTTGCAGGTACGTACTGCTTTTTTTGCCTACCACTCTCGTCCTCTCGTCCGCACATCAACAACAACAAACAATAAATGCTAGTTTTCGCACCACAAAAGAGCTATGCAGAAAGCTGCAACAACAGAACAAAAGCAGCTCCTGCTGTATGTACACAGAATGTCCAGCTGTGTGCTGAGGTCGGTCAGCATCTCGAGAGAAGCGTGGCCAGCAAGCAAGACTTGGCGCGGGACACGAGAGAAGCAAGCAAGGCTTGGCGCGGGCGGCGAAAAAAAGAAGACGACTCTATATAAAAAGATCTGTAAAAAAGAAGGCTTGGCGCGGGCGGCGAAAAAAATGAAGACGACTCTTATACAAAAAGATCTATAAAAAGAGGACCCTCAACGACAAGTCAACCAATCAATCTGGTCGTTCCGATGTGACGATGTAACGCAGATCTTCTTGTCGACGGAGAAACTGGTTTTCGCCCCACAGCAAGCGATAGCTGCTCAAACGACTGTGAAAGGTCTTGAAATCGTCTTAGCTACCCAGAACTGCTGGTAGTTCTCGGAGGTTCGCAGTGTGGGCTGAGATCGGCCTTTTCGACCCGGTCGGGCAAGGGGTCCGCTATGCTACTGAAAACTCCACAGACGGAAAAAAAAGACTTTTGATCGACTGAGACCCAAGCTAGAGCTTGGGAAATAATAATATCAGCTCACAGCGCGTTTTGTGTGCGCCTACATTTAATTATTATTTAGTTAGCGGCAGACACAGCCAGTAGTTATTTAGTCTAGTCTTCCGACTACAGGGTTAGAAGTGCAGTGATCGTTCACACTAACTACTACGCGCAACAATTTTATTGCCAGGGGTGATGATGCCGCAGATGACGAACCCAACAAAGTGTAATTGTAGCGCATTTTACAGCACGACGCGTGGAACCGCTCGGCATATATCTCACCACACGGCGATCGTGGCTGCCATCAGGAACAACAACAGCAGAAGGTGCTTAGTGACCGGCCTTCAAACTCGTCTCGTTTAAAATTTAATAAGCCAATACAACGGAGCGGGCTGCCACATGCCCCAGAAGCGGAGCGTAGCTATGTCGAAAAAACAAGACAAAACAGGCCGAGAGACCGACCGCAAAAGGAAAAAAAAAAGAAGAAGACGACAGCCAGCAGCGACGACAACAACAACAACAACACACGAAAGCACTCTGTGTGCTACAAACGATGAAGAAAGATATCATAACAAGCATGGAAGAAGAGAAAAAGGACTAACCAACGCGCACTCGCTACAACATCCGTCCCTCCATGCACCTCCATGAGAGAAAAAAAAATAAAATCAACTGCTGCCTGTTGTACGACGATAAAGGGGGCCGCTAATACTACTACTTTATCCCCTAGGCAATAAATAGCATCACGTATTAGTCAATCCAACGACCAGGTGTGATCAACCACAAAGACTTCTGCCTTGTCAACTCGCCAGATCATGCATACTCCGTCGCCCCGTGACCTTTGACTGAAGCACACCTGATCTATACGCGTCCGCTCGTTGACCCCACCCATTCCGGCAGAACAAAGCGATCGAGGACTGACCGCAGCAGCAGCAACCTTGACTCCGAAGCTAGCACCCTAGCTGCCGGGGGTTGCTACGTTGACGTGCGTCGATCTACGTGATCTACTATCGTTCCCCCGTCAACTCCCCCCTCCGAACTGACCGACCCCAGGCCGTCAAAATGTTTCTTTTGCATCAACCTCTCACAACGGTATCAACGGGGGGAGGGGGTAGCCCCGGACCACTTGCAACCACGTACGTGTACGTACTTTTTAAGAAGAGAAGCGAGAGACAAGAAAGGGAGGCGGCTGAAGAAAAAAGGGCATGCGGATAGACGTGAGGCCTTCCTGGCCTAACACTGCGTTTAACACATACATCCCGACAGGTGGGGGGGGGACGGGGGGGACGGGGGACGGCAGGTGTGCCGAAAATAAGTCATGTAAGTGCTGTCATCGCCCCCACCCACCCCCATCCTCTCCCCGCCTCTTCAAAAAGACAACCAACCGCGAAAAAATAATATGACAAAGAGCGTCACAAGAACCTCCTTGCCTCCCCCCGCCCCTCCCCCGGGACCCTCGTCTACTCGTTAACCTATTTGTAACTGTCATCTCCCGAGCTGGCCGCAGGACTCGCGATTCATCACTGATCATCACGCGCACCCTCCGACGGCATGAAAGAAAAAAGAAAAACTGAAATACAAGGTTTGGGGCTGGGCGCCCGCCGGTCGGGGAAAAATCAGCGCTGTCCTTGCGTTGCGCCCCCCTCTCTCCCCATCGCCCCCACAGGTTGTTGCTCAAACCACGAAAACAAAAATGTAAAAAAAAAAAAAAGGTGTGCGCGACTTGACGCAACCTATAACCTGCAGCACGGACGGCTTGTTGTTACACATCATCCCAGCACTCTCGTGTGTCCCAATAAACCTTGCCGCTCTCCTGTACTTGTCGCTCTTAACCCCCACGTTCTGGGTCCAAAGATAAGCGTGCGTACGTGCGTGGCGGTTTCTCTTGCTACCCAGTTCTCATACCCGATTTCCCTCACATCGCTAGGCTGGCGACGGGCAGAGAAGAAGTGTATGCCACGATCTTCATCATCAGGGTCGACCAACTGCAAATCTCCATTTAGCTCGCGTGTGTTTTTAAAAAAAGAGAAAAAGCCGGCAACAAAAGAAAACATCTGCCGGCCCGCTTTACTGCTACATGGCAACACACAACAAACACGCCAGAGAAGTTTCACACACGTGTATGCCTCTTATCCGAACCCCGCCCCCTCCCCCATCCGTGGTCCCGCCGCCGCCGCCGCCGCCGCTACGCTGTTCTCCGTGGTCAATTTTTGTCTGTGTAGACCCCCGTGGGGTCAATGAGAGGCAAGGCAAGACACCCGGGACCCAAGCGCCGCCGCCCCGTATCGTACGAACACGCCAACACACAAAAAATCGATACGGAACGCGAGGGCGCCGCCCACCGGCAGCAGCAACAACACCAGCCAGCCAGCCAGCCAGCCAGCCAGCCAGCCGCCGTTCAATGCACACGATTCTTTGCAAGCGCTCCTCTGTGTAGTCAGCCAGTCTAAGCAGGCCTGCTTTTTCCTGTCCATGGGCTCTCTCTCTCTCTCTCCAACCACCTGCCACGCCACGTACGTCTGGTTGGAGCCTCGGGCCCATGCAAGAAATGGGATCCAGCAAACAAGACGAACAGAGAAGGGAGGGGACCCATCCGCAACAAGACACAAGGAGCAGACAACGCCCGCGCATGTCGAATGTGAAGCGCTCGACACAAACAAGGCCGGTGGCGTGGGCTTTGGCCGTACCGTAACAGCGAGTCCCACACACAAGCAGTTAGCAACGTCCCTCTCTCTCACACACCGGGGGCTCCATCGAAAGCTGCCAGAGCGGTGACTCAAAAGCTATCATCAAGCCACCCCCTGCTACCCACCCACCTCCCTCCTCAAAAATGAACATCTAATCATAGCTGCAAATCCTCCCTTCTATCCCAGCACGCGGTGTACCTTGGCCTATCGGTTGCCGGCTGGCTATGACCCTCCCACCCCACCCCCACCTACGACTCTCGCCTCCGCGGGTACCCCGCCTTACCACCCTCGGACTTGGACCGACTCTCCTCCAACCGCCACTACACCCTACCCTATCCCCTATCCCCTACAAGAAAATAAAAAAAAGAACTAGAAAATGCGCAGGGGTGTGTGATGCCGCCCTACCTTGGACGAACAAACCAACCCGCCATCCACGAAGGGCTGGCTCATGACTGACGATACCATAAAAAATCACCGCGCGTCGAGCCCGCGCCCGCCGCCCCATGCCCCCTCCCCCCCCTCCGTCCATGCACAGACCCCCTCCCTAATCCACACGATAAACACACACACACGACGACAAGACCTATCACGCCCAGATCTTGAGAAGCGTGTCCCACGAGCCGGTGCAGAGCGCCTCTCCCTTGGGGTTGACTCCCAAGCACGAGACGCGGTTCTGCGCAGGCAGGCCGGGTTGGGGGAGGGGGGGGGCAAACACACGCGATAACCAACAGCGAGCGGTTCGTCAGAGGAAGGAGGGAGCGGGCAGCGGCGGCGGCGCAACCACCACCGAGCAACATTAACAAAGAACAGAGGCATGGTCGGCAGCACTAGACCACAGCCGAGTGTAGGAGCGAGGGTACGGTTGGCGACACCTGATCGACCCGAAAAGCTGTCGCTGCGCAAACACGAATTGCGTGCACTTGATCGGGATAACACCCGCCTGCTGGCCAACACAGCAGAAGGCTTTGATCATCACGTATATATGGGCGTATTGGGGGTGGGTGGAGGCTTCGTCTTGCTTGCATCCATCGATCTGCAAAAAAAACGGCCGTCACGTGCATGAGCATCCTCGTCATGCCTACTGTCTCATACCCTCCCCCTCGACACATGGAAGCGATGCACAACACACACAAAAACAAAAAAGTGCACTGGACCCCGCACGATAACCTTGAGAAGCGTACTTCTTTCTTTAGCAGTCGCACGGAGACTGACCCCTCTTGAGTGGCCATACCGCTATGATCGATGCAAACATGTACACACACAAACACACACCTGCCGTACACCTTTCGCCCCATGCACCGATTCAATACAGCCACGAGACAATTCCACCGAGACAAACCAAAATCAAAACAACAGAACGAAATGAAAAACAATAAAAATGCGCCATGCCGTGCGCTTTAGGCAGAGAGAAAGGGGGGAGAGGGAGAACACCAATGCCGTATACGTGCGTTATTTCTACGGAAAAATAAATAATCCGGCGTGTGTTTAGGTGAGGGGGGGGTCTTCGGGCCTGTTTTAACGTTGAAAAGTTGCACCTAAATTGAGGACCCAATTTGGAAGGACCTAATTGGGTTTTTGGCCAAAAAGGGCTTGCGTCGTTTTAACGTAATTTTGCCACATCGAGGTTCAGCAACACCCAAATGCGGCGGAATCGCTGCCGCGAGGTGACGTGGTGACCAACCAGGTAGAGGGATAGACCATGTGCACCACACGGGAGCTGTAAAAATATATCAGCACACACACGAAGCTAAGCATCAGCAGGCGGTGCCAGCGGTCCAAGTCTCATCCTCAGGCTTGCTCAACAACTGCTGTTGCTTGGACTGTCTCGCTGCACACAACCGGCCGTTGACTTTTGACATCGCACATATGTTGAAGATCAATCTCCACAGCAACCCAACCAGCGCGAAAAGTTGGCACGCTCACAAAATCATTGCAACACAGCTATTTCCCAGCAGCGGGCAGTGAGCGATGCATGTGGGTGCCGCACAGCCAGTGTGCCATATGCGGTCCCGTCAGGGGTAACGCCAGCACGAGTCGGGGGTCCGAAAGGGGCGCAGTGCAACTTGGGTACTTCGATTCAGCAAAAAACAATTCAAGTTGCAATTGTTTTTTGCTGCACCGAATATCGAAGTCCCGCTTGTCCGGGCAGAGAAAGCCTCATCGTGTTTTTTCCTGTTGACCAATCAGCGTCTTTGGCCCCCGGCACCCCCCCAAACTTCTTTTTTGCAGGGCCTCAATTTAGTGCAACTTCTTAACGTTAAAACAGGCCCTTATGAAAAGATCAAGCTTGTGTTGCCCGTACCTCGTGCCCTGCAAGCTGGTAGGCCGGGATGCCCGTGCTGTTCGTCACGTCCCAGACGTAACAGTTGTAATCGTCGTAGCCCGCGAACAAGAGCCGACCACTCCGCGAGAAGGCCACGGACGTGATGCCGCACAGGATCTGACAAAGCGAGAAGAGCCGAAATAGACCGTCGCCACAAGAAAACCAACAATTAAGAACGAGACCCGACAGGCAGATGATGAGCAACTATAGATTCTAAAGCACCCAAACAGGCGCAAAATGACCCAAGGATGCACCCAGAGGATAAAAGAACCCAAGGCCCGAAGAAATAAATCATATCATGTAGTACTTCGAAGTATATCATATTTGTTGTTGGGTTTTTGGAGGAGTTAGCTGACGAAATCAAGAATAAAGAGCAAATGCACAGCGTAACAAATGCTGTCTCGACACACGAGCAGAAAATTCTACGAACGAACAGCCTGAATAGACAGACTAGGCGGGGGGGGGGGGGGGGGGG